CTCCATCTTCCTACGGTGCACTGCTTTTACTATTGTTTTGTCCTATCCCAATCTCAAATTCTCCCCATTATCGTTTGCAAAGCCGGTGCTCCCCTCTTGGATGCACATGTTTCTTTTCTCCTATGTATCGGCGCACAGGAGTAACGATGATTCCGAGACCTTTGGTCGGAGGAGTTACTTTTGCCCCGCCCCCACTTCCATCCAATATGCCACCGCCCCCGCTGTGCAGCATCTGATGGTACTGTGGTATTCAGTAAAAAAAAATGTACCGACCAGGCAACCAACCAAACAGATCCGCCTACAGTGCATCCGTAGCAGTTTCTCGAATCCATGACATTCCGGTAAGGTTTGTTTTGGATTTTCCGAGTTCCCAGCAATAGGAATGCAAGGGATGCACGTTTGTATTGGTTGCCTGACTTGGTTTTTTATTGGTTATTGTTTTTTCTTGTATTCTCCAACAGAAACACATCTGGCATAGGGTACCTTACTTCGGTTTGGTAGGCAAATGGCGTGACGAGGAGAGGAGCTAGAGGAGCACTCTCTTCGCTATGTCCCACTCACTGAAGCAGTGAAACAGGAGATAGTCTCTAACACCTCCTGATCCTGCAGTGACTGTATAGTCGGAGTTGACTAAGAGACGATCTCATCTTTGCCTTTACTCTGCTCTTCGGACAAACTCTCCAAAAAGCAACAACAGGAACGCTTGTTGAGGATGTACCTGACGTCAGTCTTCCGCAGGTGTTTGCTACATAAGCCACATAAAGCCAATACGTACATAATAGTAATACTCCAGCGAGGGAGAGAAGGTCAGGCAGGTGCTGTGGTGGGGTTCTGCACTTCTGGTCCCCAGCCGACCATGAAGATCTTGACATCACCACAGGTAGAACATAGGAAAGGCGACTGGCCGGATCATTCAAGCTATAACAGTTAGCTTACCCCCACGGACAGGCACAAAAAAAAGCAAAATTGAGTCTTCTAGATATCAATACAATACAAATTTTGTCTGACGCAAACCGCAATTTGTTTCATTTAGTGAAAAATTCACGGTTTGCGTGAGATCGAGACTCGGCTAGAGGCGAAGCGTTTTCAGCATCCGCAGGACTGCCACCACCCTCAAGTCAAGGCGCACATGCAGCTCCTAAAGACAAGTGGTGGGAGGTCACTGGTGAGTAGATCCACCCACCACCAATGTGGTCAAAGACCGAAAATCCTATTCGCTGCATGCATCCGTGGGTCCCTTGTGCCAGGCCACGGGTTCCAACTGTGGGTGCACAGCACGGCCTCCTAAGAATCCTTCGCTTCCAAGCAGGACTTGAAACTGGTACCCGCCTCTGTTTCTCAGTCATGGTCTTAGACCATTATACATCCCACCATGCCTGCCTGGAAATGAAAGAGGTCTTGTAATTCTACCGGTAGTCGGCGAATTAAATTTACTTATGTAACTTGTTGTTGGAGAGTGGAAAGAGGTACGTAGTAGCTGCATTCCAGACACTGTCACTGAGAATGTACCGCTCTGAGTCTGATAACACTGCATTGCAGCATGTCATAGTGCAAGGCTGTGGTGACTGAAAGCCCTGTGGGAATAGCGGTAGTGGATGTGAGGCCTCTGGCACCGCTGTCACTCTGGGCGCCAGCCGCGGAATGTGCACGATCACTGGAGACACTACACCGTCGACCAGTACTGGCAGTAGTGCCTGCCAGTGCTTTGGCAGTGCTTGTCAATGCCATGCAGTTCTTTGGCAGTGCCCGGGAGTGTTTAGTCTTGCTGCTCAACATGCTGCGGGTCATAATCAGGGGAAACATACCGGTGCAGACTCAGTCCACATACCTAAAACACTGTGCGCAGACAGTGCAGCAGTACAGTATAACAAACCGCGGTATTGATCTGACACATGAACCATGTGAACTGCAAGCGCGTGCCACACCATCAGGCATCACGGCATCAGCACAGGAACATCGTGTGCTGTCTGCGGAAAATCAGCCTGTGTTACCACAGACCCATTGCACCATGACATCCTCAGGTTTAGCACAGCACTGAAAACATGCAAGTCCAGGGCCTAGTGGGGGGAGGTGTCCGCCACAGTCCGGCCAGGTGTTAGTACTGATGACGTCTGATACTGTTGGTTGACGCATGCCACGGTATGCGGTGGGATGTTATGTAGATCTGCTGGCACTAAATCGTTGTGCGGTGACCTAATGAGCTTTTCAGCAGGAAAACTCTCACTGCTCATGCCATCACCGGACTATCGAAATGCTTTGCCGCTGAGCATTATTTTTGTAGACAAATCATGTCGGTCTGCCACCGTGGTCGCGCACGAGCCCGATCTTTGAACAGCTTCGCCTCACCACCCTGGAGGACATGTTTAACATTTTAAAAGCTACTCATCTCTGTCCGTCGTTGTCTGTTCTCCCGAGCTAGCTCCCTCTCCACCAGCTTCTTCGTGAGAGTTACTGGTGACCGCACTCGGGGAGCAGCATATCACCTCGTTCGAGTACCATTTTGGCCCGGTCCTGCGGGTCGAGCGACCATGCAGTTCATCGGCGCAGTCCTGTGGAACCAGCTCCCGCCTGATCTCCGTTCCGAGCCCAGCCACCTTCAGTTCTGTGCCCTGCTAAAAGCGCATCATGGCTCCGTTTAAAGGGGAAGTTAAGGCAAAAATTAAAATTTCACCAGTTGTAGTCTTCGGGGTGCTGAGTCGAATGGTCTTGGTCCGAGGAAGCTGAGACGCTCCCTTCCTACTTGAATCCCAATCGAACTCGCGCACTTCCACCGAAACTGGGTGACTGCGCCCTACTAGATGGGGATTTGTATGTAAAATGTCACTAAAAGCGCCATTTCGTTCTTATAAAAGCACGGATGACCGCGATTGGCCCATATGTTGTAGTCTTTTGGACGCTGAGTCGACTGGTTTTGGTCCGAAAAGGCTGCGATGCAGCGTTCCTCCTTTATTCCCAATCGAACATGGTTGAACAAGCGGTCACGTGCTGCTGCGTACGCCAGTCACCTGGTCACCGTGCCTGCAGGGTACAACTTACTAGCCTGTTTGACCTTTTTTGGGTGCAGTCCTGTCACTCGAGTTGAACCTTGGTGTGAAAGTTGTCACCTGCTGGCGTGGTGACCAGGTGATTTGGGCACCCAGGAGCACGTGACCGCTTCTTCAACCACGTTCGATTGGGAATAAAGGAGGAACGCTGCATCACAGCCTTTTCGGACCAAAACCAGTCGACTCAGCGTCCAAAAGACTACAACATATGGGCCAATCGCGGTCATCCGTGCTTTTATAAGAACGAAATGGCGCTTTTAGTGACATTTTGCATACAAATCCCCATCTAGTAGGGCGCAGTCACCCAGTTTCGGTGGAAGTGCGCGAGTTCGATTGGGATTCAAGTAGGAAGGGAGCGTCTCAGCTTTCTCGGACCAAGAGCATTCGACTCAGCACCCCGAAGACTACAACTGGTGAAATTTTAATTTTTGCCTTAACTTCCCCTTTAAATGCTTTTCGGCTAGTGTGTTTCTGTGGTATAGCGGACTGAAGAATAGTAAACGTATTTTGCAATAATTATAATAATTATTATGTACATGTATGAAGCTATTTTGTATATAGTATGTTCCCGTTCCGTTTTTGCTTTGGTGTAGCCCTGAGGTTGATTTGAATATTTATTTCTACCCTTCCTCTCTCCGTACTTCTGCCCCCCTCCCTCTCTCTCTCATTCCTTCTGTCGTCCACATGTATCAAAGGAGGCGAAATCGCCTGTTTGTGGTGCGACGTTAAATAAACTTCCACAACACCATGTCACCCGGGCTTGAAAGCAGACCTACCGGTACTTGGTTTATAGACTAGAAAAGAATCACTAGATTTACACGACGGCGTGTGAATCCACGCACGCGAACGTCATTGAGAGCCAGAGGAGGTTTTGTCTGAATGTAACTAAGCATACTAGTACCGGAAGAAGGGGCAGAGAGACGACAAAGGAAGAACAGGGCGAGGAAATGAGGTGGCAAAAACCTCGAGGTCAGCATCTTTCCGGCTGTGGGGAATTAATGGGTGCAGTAATGGCGCAAGCGTTACAGTACATTTAGCACATGGTGGTACCTGTAAACAATGAGCTCTGGATACAGAATAATTTTCTTGGTGACTCAATTCCAGACGCTGTTCCCCAATATACTGCTCTAACTTCCCGAGTCAAACTCAAACCCGTTATTTTACTTAAAAGGATACTGGATAGGTACGCGTTGATCTACATCATGTACATGTACCGTTGCGTGCAAGACAGGAGAGGAGGAGACGAGACCATTTATTGGAGATGTGAAAAAGAGTGATAAGCTGTATTGCAAAGGCCGAGTGAAGACGGAGAACAACATGATTACTGCGTAACCACAAGGCGAAGCAACCAGATTTCAAGTTAAGATGACCGGAAGCCATTGTGAACTTGCCTTCCTCCGCAACTCTGAAGCGAACGGTGTGCAGAGCCCGAAATGCATCCCAGAACGTTCTGCCTGCACCAGCTAGCAATCTTGGCGGCACTCGTACCGGATCTGTACCAGAAGACACATGGCGGAGTGGCGTCCCTCATCCACCTTCTCTAAATAATTAATTCGCCTGAGTGTACGCGCCTGTCGACAAGCGTCGACAGGTCGTCGACCGCAATGAAATGGCACTCGCCGAAATGGCTTCCGCCGTAGATCAGGTAGATCGACTAACCTAAGCCAAGGCTAAAACCAGTGCACCGCTCTCCTCCATAGGCATAGATCATGATACTTGATAGATCTACAACAGATGTACACTAACAGTGTAGACTACAGTACCAGGACAGTCCACGAGTAGACCGATCTACGAGTATGATCAGATGATTGTGCTCTCACGTCCGCCGCGCCTCAACTACTTCGACGGCTGTAGATATCCGGCGGAAGATCTACATGCGGAAATTCGGTCGCATCGGTTGGTTTGGTCAGAAATAACAATGGCAAGCGCCAGCCAAAACTAATTGCCGGAGATTCTGTGACCAGCACGGACTACCGGCCGCTATGGAGTGAGCGGAACGGACGAGAATGGTAGCCTCCACGCGACGCTATCAAGTAAGTCGTCTTCCTTTTCAAGTGAATGTTCATGTACAATAGGCATATTGTAAGGATGATTGGGGCGTCTATAATGATGACAGCTGCATTGTAGATCTACAGGAGATGCAGTAAAAATACTATTTCCTCCCTCGTTTTAGTATCATGAGGAGGCTGCATAGTTCCACGCCATTTCAGCGCGTACTCGACATTGGCTTTGTGTCTTGGTCTTTATCGTAACCGACAACGAATACAGCCGTGTACTAGAACTCAGTAGAAGGCTGTTTGGCAGTATTTGTATTTGCTAAGCAAAGGTGTCCTCCACCAGGAGTAATCGGAGGGTGGAACGTGATGATCATCCTCACCAAAAACAAAATCTATAAACAGAGCGCGAGTTTCGAAGTCTGAAGAAAATGTTGAACAGTCTCTGCTGGGATGACAGCTACACCTTAGCTCAGTGGTTAGAGCATCCCTAGTCTCAAGCGACGGTCCCCCATTCGAGTCCTGGTGGTGACAGTCTAAATATTACTTTTCCCGTTTGCATCAGTTTCCCCTCAAAACCAAAGAGCAGAGGAGGAGAAGCTGATGCATCAGTTCTATTTTACAGTGCTGCTCAATGGAATGCGATCAAGTGAGTCAAGCTTGCGACCTGCACCAGTGAGCACCCCAGTGTTCGCGGGTCTAGCTAGGGCTTTGCAGTGCCCCGTGCGGCATTTATTTATTTATTTATTTATTTATTTCACTCAACTCGTGGTTCATGACCAATTGGCACGCAAAGTGCGAGAGAGGGGTGATAGCCAACCACGGCAAGAAAAGAAAAGCATTGACTCGCTTGATCGGATTTCATTGAGCAGCACTGTCCAGGTGGAATCCTGATACATGTAATTCGAACCCCAAAATGCCAGGGAAAAGCTTCTAATTATCCGGACATTCTAATTATCCAAACATGTGCCCACAACACATTATGTATGTGAAAATGCTCGTATTGACACGTAGAGTTGCACTACGCACCTTAGACACAAATTTAGTGGACACTGAACTGCCTGCGCGTGCAAACCAAACTAATTTGATGAAAATATAGTGACCTAAGTTACTTCGAATTATATTTTGCCAACTTCGAATTATCAGCACAATCCCCACACATTTTCTATGTAAGTGGATTCCGTGGGACTTCTAATTAACCGGACATACCAGGTTCAAGGTTCTAATTATCAGAAATTGTTAGACAGTTGTCTAAAGTCCCTAGGCTGCTTACAGTGCTCAATGTCCACTGGACAGAGCAAGTAATACAAATATTACACAGCAATGAATCAAACAAGTCTCATTCCGCTGTTACTCCGAATTTCGTGTCAGAACACTTCATCAGACAGCATAATAAAATTATGACCAAGACTAACAATCACTAGAATATATACGGAGAAGGGGAGAAGGGGACAAAGGTGATGGAGGTACATTTCAATAGCGCGAGGAAAAGGGATGACAAAATCAGCGTGATTATAAGAGGAAAAAGATGTTGAGAGTATAGAGCATAGCCAGGGTAGAGAAACAGCGCGATTTTCTGGCAACACATCAGTACAGATTTGTGCTGCATTTGTTACACATCAAATTGTGACCTAGGGTGGTAAAAAAGGTCGTTTATGAAGCGCACGTGGGGAAAGAAAACGAACAGAAGGTGTACATTGGATCAACTGAGCCACCATTTAAGAAACGACACTATAACCACAAATCGGACATGAACATCGAGTCAAGGAGGAACAACACGGAGCTGTCTAAGCATGTATGGCGGCTAAAAGAGACGAACGCACCGGTCACTATCAAGTGGAGGATTGCTGAGCAAGCTAAAGGGTACAGCAACGTCAGCAAACGGTGCAGCCTATGCGTGACGGAGAAATTCCGCATCATCACCACCGACAGCAGCACCCGCCTGAATAAGAGGAGCGAGTTAATCTCCAAAGGTCGTCATGCCAACAGGTTTCAACTCAGCAGGGTAACGTGATGAACGACAAAATACATGAGCCACGCCAGGCTGGGGGTGGCTGTTTTGCCCGTCGGGGCCGGGGAGGTGGCGGTCGGGGCTGGGTTCCGCGGGGCGCGGGAATGAGCACTCCCCAGGGCTCATGGCTCACGCGCTTTGGGGGATCTTGGCTTCTGTCGCCGGTTTTCCGATGCCTTGGTGGGTGTGGTAGTCACCCCCCTTGCCTGGCGTGAGTGATTCTCACAACACAATCCCCATCACCTTTTTTACCACCCTAGGTCACAATTTGATGTGTAACAATGCAGCACAAATCTGTACTGATGTGTTGCCAGAAAATCGCGCTGTCTCTCTACCCTGGCTATGCTCTATACTCTCAACATCGTTTTCCTCTTATAATCACGCTGATTTTGTCATCCCTTTTCCTCGCGCTATTGAAATGTACCTCCATCACCTTTGCCCCCTTCTCCCTTTCTCCGTATATATTCTAGTGATTGTTAGTCTTGGTCATATGCTGTCTGATGAAGTGTTCTGACACGAAACTCGGAGTAACAGCGGAATGAGACTTGTTTGATTCATTGCTGTGTAATATTTGTATCAGAAACTGTTATGTGGAAATCGTATTGACAGAAATCGGTCCCGGAAGAAACTTCTAATTAAGCAGTATGTTCTAATTAAGCCATATTCGAATTATCAGGATTCCACCTGTACGTGTACCGGTAGTTGCGTAGATCTACTCATGTGCCAGTACCTGTACTTCATTTTCGTTTGTGACAAGTATTAGTTACTGACAACCCAGCAACCCAGCAACCCAGCAACCCAGCAAACCCAGCAAAGGACATCCAGGTACCGCACAGTAGAGTTGCGCGCTGAAGAACGTGGAGCCCAAGAACGTCCAGCCTGAAGTTCTAAGACCGCTAAAGCCTAAAGCTGAGAACTGCGGTGTTGGTTTCTGGCAGCTTGTGGGATACATATGATCCAGTACGGATTGTTCCGAAGACCGTGCTATAAGAACGGAGCCAGATTGCTGAAAAATAAGAACGTCCCAGGCTAGCCCCTTGGAAACAACGTTCTTGGGCACGCGGCTCTACTGTAAGCTATAACTCCAAGCTTCACAAGGCAGGGCCTAGGGCAATAATCAGACGACTGATACTCGGGTTTTACTCAACAGTACGCTTATAAACACATACATGTAGATCTACATGTATGGGCATAGGCACTGTATGCTAAAAGAAAGTCTATCGCTCAAGTGCAAATTGGGCGTTAAGTCTGGCAGCGTCAGGTTGAGAAAAAAGCGGGAGCAGAGGCATTGCGGCCATCGGGCAACGGTCCAGTGGAGGTTTTAGCGGGATGTCAGGCAACAGGCGGGTGGGAGCATTACGGAGGTCTTTGAGTGAAGGGAGGGCGTGAGCAAAGTGGCATAGTGTAGCTAGCACTACAGAGGGGGAGTGTGATATCACCATATTCAATATCTGGTGCAGTTAGTAGACTAAAACATGACAGTTGCTATAGAGTATAGAGTAGTAGTATTCTTTTTTTATATTTTCCATCAGAAGCCTCAACAGTGGTGAACACCACTCTTAAGAGGGCCGATAACGGAGTAGAGGGTGGGCTGAAGAAAAAAAGTCAAGATACATACGTGACGTGAGGGATTACTGGGATAAAGGCAAAAATTAAAGAGAGGTTTTACAGTGATACAACACAAGCGATGCAGATCAATGAGAGCGTTTACTGAATGGCAGATCAAAATACACGTACTTCTGAAAAGATGCTGAGTCGTTGAGCATGGCCTGAAGGTTCTTAGCAGAATTAACACCGTCAGTCGTCCGCAATATAGAAATTCCAATAGCAGCATTAGGGAGAAGACATCATCCACATGGATGCATTTAGCAATGATGCTACGAATAAGGTAATGCTCAAACGAATCATCGACAATCTAGCTAACAGTGGTATTACGTCATCTTGTAATTTCGCACCGCAAGCAGCCCGTATAGAACTACGAAAACGGACGAGAGTCGCTGTCGGTCCTTGGCGGATAGCTTCATTGCAAAACAAAAGCAACAGTATAGTAGGTCAGGTAGGATAACGGACAGGACAAACTGCCTTCTTGCCTTACTTAGTTGCCTCCAATACCGTCGAAGAGCGCCAACCTTTATGCAAATCTTCCTCACGACAAAGTCTATGTGACCAGACCAATGGCTGTCTACAATGACCCCAGGATTCTCGTGCTAGAAACTTGGGTCATGGGCGGTTGGTATACAGATAGCACATACCGTGCCAATTTCTCGTACGCTGTCAGGCAGTGTGCTCCAAAGAGCACAGCAGCGCAACTAGGGCCGTCGTTGACCTGCGTGACTTCTTGAGGCTGGTTGCTGGAGACCAAGGCTGAGATGCCCCTCCCCTACACCACACAAACAATGCCTGTAGGGCCGGGCTGGCGTTTCCGTGAATGCACCTCCACACGAGCACCAGGAGCTAGCTTCTGGCAGTGGAGTTCGGAGATTCGGTACACCGACATGGCCTCCAGGAGGTCACTAGCTGGTGCGAAAGGTGGCCATCCATATACAGCCCTTGCACTGCCGTTCTTCGCCATTTTAAGACGTTTAGCCTGGGCTGTGGTCAGTTAGGCTATGTCGTGTTCATCATAGACTACCGATCTTCCTTGCTGTCCTGCTGGTGATGTGGTCCACTTGAGATTGCCAATCGAGGTGGCATGGCTGTCTAGGAGGATTCCAAGGTACTTGGCGGTAGGCACATTTTGTAGGACAGTGCCGTGGCCGTGCCCCGTCACATTCAGTTGCGGTCCATTTCTTGTGATGAAGGATAGGACCTGGCTCTTGGCAGCATTCAGCACAAGGCCACGAGTCGCCAGCCAACAGTTGAATCCCGGGACGGATACCCGGATGCCGTCAATCCCTTTTCTGCACCTTGTCCTCACCCACTCACTGAGGTGTGGTGGGCCCATAAGTGGGATCATTTCCAAGTCCACCCAGAGTTTGCGAGTTTCAGGGGTATCGGCCATTGGGTGGTTCAATAGCCAAATGAGTCATCTTTCCAAGTTTCCCTTTGAGTCTCTCTCCCCTCTCCCGGGGAGACCCACGTGACCAGTTTTGGCAGTCAGCAAGTGCAGTAAGTACAGTGCAGTCTGTGTGTGTGTGGGGGGGGGGGGGGGGGGTGCGTGAGCGCATGTGCGTGAATGTGCGCATGTTTGTGCATGCTTATTATTAGTGTGTATAACTGCACTGTTCTTTTTTATGCTGCTGCCTTATGACACACATGGCGCCCCTACGACCAGAATGGTAATGGGTTATACATACATACATACATACATACATAAATGTCGCATGCACCTGAGAGCAGCACGTGTAATAATTTGTCTCATTGCTGTATTGTTTCCTACAGGCTGTTACTGTGAATCATCACATGCTATCTTGACGTGTGGCTTATCAGATTATTCCAAGGACGGCTTCATCTGTAGTGGTTACAGGTAAGGTGCTCATGGACATTAGACAGGTTAAAGGGGAAGTCCATCGATTTTCAAGTAGGGTCCAGAAGAAAGACAGTTTGATATCGGTTCGAATGGCATATCTCTCGATTGTATACGATAAGCCAAACTCGCCAAATCGCAAATTGTATGATCCACGTTGCCATAGCGGCCCGCGCAGTGATGACGTACATTCCGCTTAGCTCCGTGAAAGAGAAGGTCGATCACTGCAGAATTTGGACAATTTCAATTGTATTCATGAAGTGAAAGAAGGGCTGTGTTCAATGTATTGTATTGTATTGTATTTATTTAAAAGGATTCTCCAAAAGCAAATGGATGCTTATCACGGAAGTCTCCCACATAAATATCGCAAGAAAAATGGGGAAATGGGGGAGAGGAGAGTGGAAGATGAAGCATGGGATGAAGGGAAACAAGTACCTAAATATCGAGGTATAAAAGCAGGAAAGAAATCGATGAGGGAAGAAATCACCTCTGCAGATAATAGCGGGACATTTAGATGAAAAAACCCCAGCAAGGATTAATTTTAAGGAAAAAAAATTCTCAAACGGAAAAGTTCGGAATTCCAGTCAGAGAATATCTATGCTGTGAGTAATGAGCCTTTAGAGCAATGCGAAAATTGACAGAGGACTGAACGCAGCGGATGTGTTCTGGAAGTTTGTTCCATTCCACAGATAAACTGAAGAGAGGGGATTTAAGGAAATGGGCGCCAGAACGAGGTAAAACTATAGAGGACGGGTGACGACAACTAAGGGATACATTGAATTTGAAACGAATTAGCAAAGACGGAAACTGGTAAAAGACATGATGAAAATACAGCAAGGACAGAATCTGACGACGCCACTTCAGGGATGACCAGTCACAAGTACGATTAAGAATCTGCTTCGGGGTTTCCCACTCAGGAGGGTGCCGGGTCTTACAAAGCAGATATGAACGAGCAGCAACGGCTTGCAGTCGGTCTAACGTAAGCGAATCTGAATGGGATACGGCGAATGACCAGACAGGGACTGCGTATTCTAACAGTGGTCGTACGTAACACTTGTAGAGCAAATTCACGGTTGAAGCAGAAAGGAAATGGGCCATATGGCGCAACAGAAAAACACGACTGCGAAACTTATGGGTGATAGATTTTATATGGTCAGAAAAATTTAGTGAAGGAGTGATAGTCACGCCGAGATGACAGTGGCTATCACCTTTCTGAATAGGCACACCGTTCATTGTCAAGGGGGATGACGGGCCGGGGGCTAATGCATATTTTTGAAAGGGTAGGTGGACGCATTTACTGGTGTTAAACGTCATGGCAGTAGCTGATGACCATTGACAACACTTATCAATGTCAGTCTGGAGCAATGCATGATGGATAGGAAGTGAGGTGTTTGCTGGAGAAACAAGAATTAAATTAGAGTCATCAGCAAAAAGGGATAGGGTACTAGAAGCAGGGGCATCAGGAAAGGAGTTGATGCACAGGTTAAAAAGAAGCGGGCCGAGATGGGAACCTTGGGGTACGCCAGCTGTGATGGGCAAAGGGTCAGAAAGAGTTTGGCCAATGCGAACGCAAATACTACGATCACTGATGAAGTCCTTCACCCAAGAACAGGCAGAAAGAGAACACCAACCTGAAACAGATTGAATAACTAAATGATGACTAACTCTGTCAAAGGCCTTAGAAAAATCAAGGAACAGCTGGTCACAAGAAGACTTAGAGTCAAATGCACGCGAAACAATTGAGGTAAGCTGTACCAATTGGTCAACTGTTGACCTCTTTCGACAAAAGCCAAACTGGCTGGAACTGATAATTTTATGGCTCTCAACAAACGAGTAAAACTGACGGCTAATCATAGACTCATACAATTTGGCAACTGCATTTAACAGCGATATAGGACGGTAATTGACTGGGTGAGAAGGATTACCTTTTCCCTTGAACACAGGTACAACAACGGCAGATTTCCACTCCCTGGGCTGAGTACTGGACAGCAAGCAGCGGTTGAAAAGGGCGGAAAGAGACTGTGACGTGACCTCAGCTGTTTCACGGAGGATGCGATTGTTCAGCAGTCCAGCGGTTTTACGTTGAATGGGAAGTCTGGATAGCGTGTCAAATACGGACTGCACAGAGAATGGTTGTATGGAGAACTTCACAGTGGACGTGGGTGTTAAAATACCAGCTGAGTGCAGGTCAGGTGTTAGCAGTGGCGCCTGGCTGTAGCTCGCAAACACTTTGGCTAGGAGATTCGTCTTTTCCGTATTACTCGTGGCTGGGTAGGCTTGGTTGTCATGGTAGAGGTCAGGGATAACCGGAGACGGGCGATTCACATTACAAAGGATCTTTGCTTTGCGCCACCATGTACGGGTTCCATGATGCTGAGCCATGTCTCTCGCCATCCTCTCGTGATAATGGCGTTTCGCCTTCCGGAGCAAGGAAGTGAGACAGTTACGTGAGAGTCTATACGCTATCCAACTATCTGTAGATCCGAGACGTTTGGCCTTGGCGAAGAGGCGATCCCGAAGCCGCCTCTGACGATGGTGAACAGCAGAGTACCAAGGCTTGTTCGATGGAAATGTGCTTCTCCGGACGACGGGAACAAACAACGATACAGAGTCTTCCAGCGCTGTGCGCCACAATGACCAGGCCTCATCAACTGTTTGCGCATTTTGGACGGCATCTAGCAAGGGTAGTTGCCACACGTGGTTGTTAAATGCTTGCCAGTCCGTGTGGGCAAAGTCGAGCCAGGTGTTTTGTGCAGAAGATATTTGGGCTGTGGAGCCTGCTGATCGGTTGTGGACGACATCGAAAACTACAGGACAGTGATCAGATACCGGTGGGAGGATGGTGAGATGGGAGACTGCTATTGGAGCATTAGTGATAACTAGGTCGAGTAGTGATGAACTCTTACCACTTGCGGAGTAGCGGGTAGGCTGTTGATCCACAAGTTGCGATAAGCCCAGATCATCCAGGGTGTCATACATGCATGTACCAGCAGGTGTATCAGGATCGGATGCTAGCCATTTCGAGAGGCGAGCGTTAAAGTCGCCAATGACAAATATGGAAGCTTGAGGACAAGATATTGATTGAATGCAGGTCCGGAGTGCGCTGCAGAACTGATCAGGTGGCTGCCAGGGAGGACGGTAACAACAGAACACAAACGTGGAGTTGGGGCGATGCTCTAGTTCTATGCACACAATTTCAATGGTTGGATCAGCAGGCTGAAGATCTGGACGATGTTTGGTAGTATGGGAAATGGAAGGGTGGAGGAGGAATGCTACTCCACCTCCACGTCGCACGGTATTGTTGTGACGGTCATGCCGGATAATTTTGTATTCAGCTGACGGTGTTATTATTGAACTTGTGATATCAGGAGTCAACCAGGTTTCAGTTATGCCCAAGATATCTAGTTGAGATGTGCAGAATAAGTTTTTAATCTCATCAGCCCGCTTCAGCCAGCTGCATGCGTTAACTGTGCAGATCCTGATACTTGACGGAGACTTCATATCAGGAATACAAGGTGAAACTTTGAAAGTCAAAGGGGACGGTTGGAATGGTGGAGCAAGAGGGTTCAGTGCGGTCACTTGCGATTGTCGGCCGGGAGAGAACGGGGCTGCATTTGGGTTAAGAGTAAAAGCGTGTGGTGATGTGGGAAAAAAGATGGGTACGTGTGGATTCAACATCACAGTTTATGATTTCTTGGGGAGGGGTGGGTTCTTGAACTTCCATTCTCGTGCTGTTACATGCTCGGGCCAGAAATCGTTTTCCAGAACATTTCTTTCGTCATGCTCAGCAACTGTCAGATGTGCGTACAACGTGCCGTACACTGTTCTGGAGGGGATCAGTCTACAGCCAGTAACTTCCACATTCTTCTTTCTACAGTACGCAACAAGATCATCAGCACTGCAGTTGATATTGATGCCCCCAACGAATACAACTCTGCGTGCTATTTTCTTACCTCCACGCAGATCTGCGGGCTTCCTGTGGCGGTTGGCGGCTTCACGTACGATCGACCAGTCGTACTTGGTACTGACAGGCTTGTCAGTAGTACGACTGGCGTTGCTTGTTCGTGGTGTAGAGAGGGTACGACTAGCGTACGTCTCGCCCGGAGCTGCGGACTCAAGCCCTGTTGGTGCAGATGCGGGTACTGGTACACCCGTGGCGGGAATGTTTGTAGCTGCTCGGTACGAGTACTCATCCTGGAGGCTGTCGAGGGCGCGATTAGAGACATCGATGGGCTGGTGGTGTTGTGTCAGGGCGCGAAGCTCCTTCCTGAGTTCTGCAATGGCGGCATCTTTTCCTTTCTCCTTTTCGAGAGAGATTTTTCGTAGGTCGGAAACTTCTGCTACCAGGTTTCGGACCGTCTCCATTAGGTCAACCATCATCTTCGTTAGCGCAGTAGCATCAGTACTGGTACATTCACATCCTCCTGCCTGCTTTGTGACCCTGTGTGTGTCGATCTGATCGTCCAGTGGTTGCAACTTTCCCCTCAGGGCGCCTACCAATTGCACTCGGCTCAGGCCGGCCCATTTGACGTTATTGGCCTTTGCCAGTGACTCCAAGCCTTCACTATCCAAAATTCCGAAGTCAATGGACGCCATGCTCCCGGTTGGGGGAGCAAGACGTCAGACGTAAAAAAACTCGCAACCACACTCGTCAACGACACTCACTACCTGCTGTTAGTGCCGCAAACTGTTTATCGGCCTTCTCCTGTATTTCCCTAGGCTGATTGTAGCCTAGCGAATGGTTCCTCTAGGAGAAGATGCTTGGTATTTGCCATCTCTCCTGAGAATTTTTCACCAAACTTTCCAAAAAAGTACGGCATTTCGTTCGTCAATCTCCACCACCCGTCGTCTCACCTGGCTTCAGAAGGTGTTATGAGAGATAGGAGAGTCGCCAGGAAGCATCACATCCATCTTCGGGAAGTGGAAAGAGCAAATGGCAAGGTCCTTGGTTGGGGTAAATGCTGAACGTCTGGGCACTTCTTTCACATTGTGAATACAATAAGACAGTTGAAAATGACAAAATTCTGCAGTGATCGACCTTCTTTCTCGCAGAGTTAAGCTAAACGTGCCTCATCACTGTGCTGGTCATTATGGCAACATGGATCACACAAATGGTGATTTGGCAAGTTCGGCTTATCGTTTGCAAGTGAGAGATATGCCATTCGAACTGATATCAAACTGTCTTTCATCTGAACCATGCTTGAAAAATCGGTGCCCTTCCCCATTAAGATGTGGATCGCACTTGTTGGGCGGTCGAACATGTTTGTGGGGTGAACCCCCGAGGTCCAGCCACACAAGTCCTGACAGTCTACACCACACTTGTATGAGGCATCACTCACTCAGGTATGGGTATGCCCGTGTGTGTATGGCATTTTGCAGAGCATTTTCCGTGTTGTGCACAAATTGCTGATGGGCATATTATGAGCCATCAGACGACCTGTTATGGGTGGTACAGTCAGTATTGCCTATAGTGTTGGTCTTTTATTTTGAACATTTTATCGCTATAAGCGATACAATTATTACTACAGTCAAATCTGTCGTAAGCGACCGCCCCTTGGTGCAAGAAAAAGCGGTCTCTTACGGCAGATGTATGGTAAATCCGGCATACCGGGCATTATGCTTCCATGTATTCAGTACTCAAATCAACGAGAATAATGTGATTTTTAATATCATTTTATTGGATATTCAATAGAATATAGGGGTGCACAAACCCAAGAATAGTACACATACCCGGGCTAATCTGTTTTGTAGCCTACAGGAAGGCAAGTACAGTTTCGCACCTGACTGAACCTGGGTCGAGGGCGCTTACAGCAGATTTGAATGCAGCCACCGTGCATGAAATCGTGGTCGCTGGTCGCGCACAGCAGATGGTCGCTCTGGACAGATCAGTTTGTATGTGAAACCGTCGATGCACAGAAAATCGGTCGCCAACGGTAGATGGTCGCCTACAGCAGAGGTCGCTAACGGCAGATTTGACTGTATGACCGATATTGCATGTACTGTATGCGAGTGGGGTATCAAAAGACTCAGCGCGCCGTACACATACACACAGCATAGTTGGCTGCAGCGCATGTCCTGTGTACTCCTACCTTCAGAACTGCACCCTATCATGCCTATGCAGCCAAGGCTCCTGACACACAACGTCAGCATATCCTTACGATGTATGCATTTTGGACAACTAATACTACAAATAGAACTCACGAAACAACACTGGGCACATTTTTCACAAAGAAGTAACTTCCTTTTCGCCACTGACACCACTTGATTTCACATAAATTACTTTTTAAACCGAAGCAAAGATAGTGTAGTAGAGGACTTTTGAAAATTGAATTTGATCACTATAGGCGATACATTGCCATAGACGATAATTGCTATACACGGTAACTGTGTATACTTAGGGCATGTTCATTTGCTAGGATCGGGATTCCGATCCACTGGATCCACTGGATTCGCACCCTTTCGATTGGTCTAATCTGGATCCGGATCCTTCGGATTTGGATCCGGTCAACTCACCTCGGGGAGCAGGGTTGACCGGATCCAACGGATCCAAATGTGACCTTTGTGCGTATATGGCGGGTAAAAATCATTTTTGTACACATTGTGATACGCACACGTGGATGGAGATAGAGCTTGTTGACTCTTCAGTGTACGACGGAGGCGATGAGTACGACGTTCACCCTTTTGGGGTGATCTGTGAGCGCCATTGTTAACATAGCAACAGTCAAGGTCTAATATAAAGTGTTCAGTTGAATCTGAAGGATCCGATGGATCTGAGATCTGGATCCTGATCCCGATCCTTACCAATCGAACATGCCCTTAGTTTTGGAAAATGAAAATGAATTCGAGAAGTTGATCACTATAGCCGCCAACCTTACAGGCGTTACGTACTGTATCCATTCTTCACAGCTAGAGCATTGTTGAGAGCCGGCCCAACACCATCGGTTGTGAACATTGTCCTCAAGGAAAAGAAATACAAAGGCCTGATGATTCAACATGCACAAATATCCCGTCAGTAACAACGACTGGACAAAGGTGACTGTATATTAGTGAGGTTTAGTTCCCACGTAACGGAAACGCGTACGTGGGTGATCCACGTAAAGCTGATGAAGGGCACCTACGTTGCAATGTTGTGTTTAGTCACACGGAACAAACAAAAGCATGAACCGAAAGGCCCAAACCTGGTCAAAGACGAAGCTACCCGGGCCTAAGAAGCTCCTCCAATATTTTGATTTCGTGCTTCGGAAACTTCTTCGGCTGAGCACCCTCACAGCTCGCACAATGCGCTCCATTCTGATTTTCACCCACGTTCTGGCGGAACGTGGGTGAGCCTCCATACACGGTATGTCGTGAATCAGAAAACGTCTGTACGTGGGTCACTGAGTATCACGTGCAGGGGCGGATCCAGGGGGAGTTCGGGGGGTTCGAACGAACCCCCCTGATTTTTCCGACCATAGTTCGGGTGTGACCCATGCTCATGCATGCGATGTGCGCGCCCGATGCTATGGCTCAGCGGCCCAGGCCAGAGCGGTCCGCTAGCTATGTCCTTGGTAGATCTACATGACGGTGTACATTGTTGTCTTGTACAGTTTTGTAGAAAAGTAAAGTACAGCCATGTACATGTAGATCCACACTGAATGTACATCTACAGCTACGCGTTCGCTTCGGAGAAAGAGGTGCATGCATTTGTTGAGCTGCTGCGGAAACTTCGAAAGTAAGTTTCAAACACTTGTTTCTGAATAGTGGCCGTGCAGTGCTGTATTGTCGTCGCGGCTCGTGCTTTTTGAACTGTCTTAGAGTTTGTCCAAGCGTCTAAAAGAGGCAGGCTGAAGACCAGCTGCCATTGAATTTTGGTGACACTCCAAAGAAATGTGTAGCCACTAGTGGCGAAGGTAAAACAAAGAGCGAAACTTTGAAAATCACCTTCAAGTTCAACGTCCCATCATCCAATAATCAAAATTTCTCCCAACTCTTACTGGGGACAATTAAAGGGGAAGTTAAGGCAAAAATTAAAATTTCACCAGTTGTAGTCTTCGGGGTGCTGAGTCGAATGGTCTTGGTCCGAGAAAGCTGAGACGCTCCCTTCCTACTTGAATCCCAATCGAACTCGCGCACTTCCACCGAAACTGGGTGACTGCGCCCTACGAGATGGGGATTTGTATGCAAAATGTCACTAAAAGCGCCATTTCGTTCTTATAAAAGCACGGATGACCGCGATTGGCCCATATGTTGTAGTCTTTTGGACGTTGAGTCGACTAGTTTTGGTCCGAAAAGGCTGCGATGCAGCGTTCCTCCTTTATTCCCAATCGAACATGGTTGAACAAGCGGTCACGTGCTCCTGGGTGCCCAAATCACCTGGTCACCACGCCAGCAGGCGACAACTTTCACACCAAGGTTCAACTCGAGTGACAGGACTGCACCCAAAAAAGGTCAAACAGGCTAGTAAGTTGTACCCTGCAGGCACGGTGACCAGGTGACTGGCGTACGCAGGAGCACGTGACCGCTTGTTCAACCATGTTCGATTGGGAATAAAGGAGGAACGCTGCATCGCAGCCTTTTCGGACCAAAACCAGTCGACTCAGCGTCCAAAAGAGTACAACATATGGGCCAATCGCGGTCATCCGTGCTTTTATAAGAACGAAATGGCGCTTTTAGTGACATTTTGCATACAAATACCCATCTAGTAGGGCGCAGTCACCCAGTTTCGGTGGAAGTGCGCGAGTTCGATTGGGATTCAAGTAGGAAGGGAGCGTCTCAGCTTCCTCGGACCACGACCATTCGACTCAGCACCCCGAAGACTACAACTGGTGAAATTTTAATTTTTGCCTTAACTTCCCCTTTAAGACTGAGACACAAAAGATTCAGGAAGCCTGCCTTATGGAACCTACTGTACAGTGGAGTCAACATCGGGCGGCTCGGAGTACAATATTACGGACGATTAATACAGACGAGCTGCTGGAGAAAGTACCAATCAGCTATTCTGCGGCAAAAAAATTGAAATTTTCTTCCTTGTGTTGCGTGTCTTCAGTAATGTTTTAGCTGCAGAATGTTGAAAATAGGGGTACTGAAGTTACATGTTTGTGCCTACATGTATAACGCGAACGTGTGAACTTGTTATACATGTGTATGTCATTATTATAATTATAATTATATACATGTATTTGAGGATTTCCCAAAGACGTAATCTAAGTTGAAGGGAGTTCCATTATAATGGGAGGCTGTAGGGTTGAGATAGCAGACAGTGGAGGGCTAATGATTCGTAATGAACAGCCTAGCTAGAGAAATACACTAATGCTGAATGTTCCAGAATGGTCCTTTACTCAATAATACCTATAGCCTCGGGGTATGCCTTGAAATACGAAATATACCGAAACAGAAACACAAAATAAGAGTAAGCGCAACGCTCAAAGAAGGAGGACAGAGGCATGTCAGTGAGGAGTGGCATTGTGTTTGGTGTCAGAGAAGTGCGTGCAAATGTGACTGTGAAACAGGGACTGCGAGGCTGTGGCTCTCAGGTCTGCGGGCAAGGCATTCCAGACAGTAGCGGTGCGGAAGAGAAATGACCTCCTGGCGTGTTTCCCAACCCGTGGCAGAGTGAATGCGAGTTGGCGGCGGCGACTACGCGTGGGGCAGTATCCCGCTGCTTCAAAAAGTTCTGGTTGGGTGGTGACCAGATGGAAGAATTCCATAAGGCAGGCGATCTTCCTGCGCCAGGATAGACTTGGCCACCCCAGCTGTTTAAACAATGATGACTTGGGCTCGTCTGATGGGCAAGGGCATCTCTCAAGCCGCATGACTGTGCGGGGTACTCTGGCTTGCAGCCGTTCAAGGGTGAGCCGCTGTGCAGCAGAGAGGGAGGACTCCCATACTGGGGCGGCGTAGTCATCATTTCGTCATTGTGGGTAGGGTGGGAAAAATTGAACCCCCCTTGGACAAATCCTGGATCCGCCCCTGACGTGGTACACACACGTAAAGTACCCACGGATTACGTGGGACTAAACCTCCCTAGTATCATGCAGGAAGCACTTGTGTCACGAGGAATTCTTTCACATTACATAATGGTCTGCCGTATCCTCTTATTTCTGCTTGCGAGGAGACGAAATGCAAGTGAAGCTCAAAAGCAGGACCTGGAGTTTGATTATCTCCTTATCTACATTTCCCAATAGTACTGGGAAACGGAAATAATCACATCTGGCTGCATGACTGGGCCCGTGCCAGATCAGGGCACTAACCAGGTACATGCCCTAGTAGTATCAAGTGCTGAATGTAAAAAATTCTATTAAAAATTATCAAGTTGAAACTCCAGGGGAAGATGTAGACAGGCTGCTTCAATGTGCTTCGTGCTCACAATCACACAGTATGGAGGTTTTGCGATTGCATCATTAACTGAGATGCTTTGGCAAAGTTGTGGACAGGTGGCAAAGCACTGCACTTGCACTAGCGACTCATGCTGCATACTAAGCGCCCATTAGAAAAAAAACGCCTTGAAATCATACGCATAACCTTTCATACAGGGCTGCTGTCCACCGCGTACCGATTCTTGTACAGCATGAGAATACTACCATTAGAGGTACGTGGGAGCTGCGTGGGAGCTGCGCCGAGGCGCAGCGCCGAGGGGCTGCGAAGCTGCATTCAAAAGCTGCAATGAAAAGCTGCATTGAAAAGCTGCATGGCGTGCATCGAGCTGGATTGAGTTGGATTGAAAAGCTTTGTTGGTCGCTGGACTGCATTTCGATCAGTTCAGCCAGTGACTCTAAACTCCACTGATGAGACCTTTTAAAAGGGAAGCATAGCCTAAAATCAAATTTTCACCAGTTGTAGTCTCCGGGGTGCTGAGTCGAATGGTCTTGATCCGAGGAAGCTGAGACGCTCCCTTCCTCCTTTATTCCCAATCAAACTCGCCACTTCCACCAAAACTGGGTGACTGTGCCCTGCTAGATGGGAGTTTGCATGCAACAAGTCACTAAAGCACCATTTCGTTCTTATAAAAGCACGGATGACCACGATTGGCCCATATGATATAGTCCTGGCCCGCCGGAACCGGTCCGCTGGGTCAGGTTATTACCGGACCAACATTTTGGCCACCAATATGTGTTTAGTGGTGTGGAGGGCAGGGCATGTGTATCCACCATACCATACACAAACTGTATGAAAGGCCACAATACTACCGGTCCAATCAAAACTGCTTCCGGCGGTCCTGTAGTCTTTTGGCCGCTGAGTCGACTGAGTTTGGCCGAGAAGGCTGCGATGCAGGGTTCGGCCCTTATTCCCAATTGAACACGGTTGAGTGAGCGGTCACATGCTCATGCGTACACCGGTCACCTGGTCACAGTGCCTGCAGGGTACAACATACAGCCTGTTTGGGCGCGTTCCTGTCACTCGAGTTGAACCTTTGAACCTTTGAGTTGAACCTTGGTGTGAGAGTTGTAGCCTGCAGGCACAGTGACCAGGTGACCGGTGTATGCATGAGCACGTGACCGCTTACTCAACCGTGTTCGATTGGGAATAAGGGCCGAACACTGCATCGCAACCTTCTCGGACCAAAGCCAATCGACTCAGCGGCCAAAAGACTACAACATATGGCCTTTCGCATTCATCCGTGCTTTTATAAGAACGAAATGGTGCTTTTAGTGACATTTTGCATACAAATCCCCATCTAGTAGGGCGCAGTCAACCAGTTGCGGTGGAAGTGGCGAGTTCGATTGGGAATAAAGGAGGAAGGGAGCGTCTCAGCTTCCTCGGACCAAGACCATTCGATTCAGCACGTCGAAGACTACAACTGGTGAAAATTTTATTTTAGGCTATACACACGCGGATCTTCTGAAAAAGCTTTACTGGCAGAAAACCAAGAGGTACAAAGAACTCAACGCATTGGGAACAGCAGAGCAACGTACGGAGAGAAAAAGCTGTGCAATGAGGTCACAAACTGACAATGTAGCAAGCTGAGTCAGGTTCTCCTCCAGTCACATGACTCTGTATGCACTGTACTGTGAGCGAGGACCGCGGTCACCCGTGGCCCGGCGCTGGTAGGATGCGCCGCATC